GATTAGAAAGTGAAACTTTCGATAGCATTAGAATTGACTCTCTCAATATCTAAATTGAACTTGGCATTCAATCTATCCTTCCCCACATAAAATGCACGTCATGAAGATGTATCATTTTAAGCTGAGATTCCTGTGCAGATGAAGCAAGCGTCAAGGGATTCAACATTCATCCAAACTTTGGAGTTGGATATTGTATCGAAACTTTGGAGTTGTAAAAATTCATCCAAACTTTGGAGTTGGAGATAATAATCTTGGATTTTGATGATGAAATCAATTGATTAGTTTATGATTTAATCTGCGTTTTGAGTGACACAAGACTAGCTTCGATCAAGGAGAGACAAATTGATTAAAATATGAAAAATCATGTTGGGTCGGAATGGAACATGTCATAAAATTAGATATCGAGTCGGATGATCGGTCGATGTATCAGCAGAAGGCTTCGGGCCATGGGTTCGGGCATCGGGCCAAGAAGAGTAAAAATTGTATCAAGAAAATCGGAGTTACGAAGGTCAACTGACCGATTGAGTAATAGGCCATAAGAGAGAACAATGCGCCAAAGAATCGGACGAGGTGCCGGATGAACCAATGACATGCCGGACAAAGGATTCATGCTTTGTAATCATTTGTTTAAGATCGAAGTAATTTAGGGGGCTAATTGAGTTATCTTTAAGTATAATCATGCTAACTCAATTAGGGGTTAATTGAACCTTAATTGGGACTGATTTGGGCTCATTGGAAGGCCCATTCAGTAACCCAAAAGTTGGGTCAAGCGATGGCACCACTAGATGGTGGAACCGCCTATGAGTTGGAAAACTCGAAAAACCTAGTCTCCAAGGCTGTCAAGTAGTGGTACCACCTAGTAACAGTGTGTCAGGCGATGGTATCACCTAGTGTCAGGCTACAAGCGATGGTTCCGCCTAGTGCAGGTGGTGGTACCGCCTAGTGCAAGCGGTGGTACCACCCTTTGCAGGCGATGGTACCGCCCGTACCCGGAAGACTAAAAAATTTAAATTTTTGGCTCTTTTTTTTAAACCATTTGGGGCCTATAAATACCCCACTTGAGCAGTAAAAAAGGGACAAGAATTCTTGAGGAAAAAACTGAGTAAATTTTATCAAAACTTTGAGTTCCCTCCTCCTAGTACTTAGAGTTAGTCCTAAGGGAGGTGTGTGAGGGAATACTTGTAAAATAGTGACTTGTAAGGGTTATCTTCTAAACCCGTGAAAAGGAAAAAGCACTGTAAAGAGGTGGTTAGTCTTCGCCTATTGGAAGAAGACCATTAGTGGACGACGATGATCTCGATGGAGGAGGAATCAGAAGTGGATATAGATCACACGATCGAACCACTATAAATTCCGATGTGTTCATTCCTTACTACTTAATCTCTTTATTGCATTTAACTTTACTTTATTACTAACTGTCTAATTCCCTCTTCTCAACTCATTCAAGAAAACTGAAACGATTTTCATCGAACTCGAATTTTATCGTACAAAGATTTTTAAATCGATGTAATTTTTCCATTGTACTAATTCACCCCCTCTTAGTGTCGCTCTTGATCCTGACAATTGGTATCAAAATTATATTATTTTTTGTTTGGTTTAACACTCAAGAGAAATGACTCTTTTTAGCTTTCAAGAGGGTAACTCTATCATTCATCCTCCCATGTTCAATGGGACAGACTACATATATTGGAAAGCTCGAATGAGAGTTTTCTTACTTTTTTTATATTTTAATTTATGGAATATCATTGAGAACGGATTTCAAAAGTCTTCTCTCGTAATGAACAATTGAAATGATTTAGAGAAAAAGACTTTCTCTTTAAATATCATAGCGATGAATGCCTTGTTTTGCTCTTTAGATAAAAATGAGTTCAATCAAGTGTCTATTTGTGAAACCGCTTTTGACATTTAGCACACTCTTGAAACCACACACGAAGGCACTAGTATAGTAAAAGATTTTAAGATTAATCTTTTAATGTATGATTTTAAATTTTTTTGAATGAAAAAAAAAGTGAAACTATTATTGGCATGTATACCCATTTTACGGATATCGTCAATAGTTTAAAAAGGTTTGGAAAAAGTTTTTCTAACTTTGAACTCGTTAACAAAATATTGAGATCCCTTCCAAAGAGTTAGGACCCTAAAGTAATGGTCATTCAAGAGGCGAAAGATTTGAACTATTTTCCATTTGAAGAACTTATCGGATCTTTAATGACCTATAAAATGAGTTGTATGGAATAAATCGAACATAAGAATAATTTTTCAAAAAACAGAAAGGATTTGGCACTTCAAACAATAGAATATCACTTAAGTGATAACTCAGGTGATGATGATGATGATTTTGAACTCCTAACAATAAAATTTAAAATATTCATAAAACAAGAATTAAAGAATAAAAGTAAACTTAAAGATGACAAAACAACTTGCTATGAATGAAATCGACTGCAACACTTCAAAAGCAAATGTCCACAACCAAAGAATAAAGCACTCAAGGCGATAGTGGAGAATGAAATGAGTGCATCCGAAGACGAAGTTGTGAACTTCGCTTTGATAACTCTCGACAAAGAGGTAAACAACTTAAACGAATCTCCTTTACCTTATTTTGAAATTACTTGATGCTTTTCATGAATTATTTTTAAATTAGTTAGTATAAAAAATAAAAAATTATCACGCTTCTCTTTCTAATGATTTTAAAATAATAATAATTAAAATTTTGAGTATGATAATTACATGTTAACTCCTAGAACTAAGAATAAAAAGTTAGATTCACTTAAAAAAAATGTATTACTATAACAAACAAAATGATTTTGACTAAAATTTCATGTTTAATGAAATCATGTTGATGATTTAATGATGCATAATGATATAATGATATAATGAAAATGTTAAAAAGTTTTGGTATCATGCTTAATGATTTTATAATTATGCATGATGATTTGAAGTAATGATGATTTTTCGGTAATTTATGGTTTATTGAGCTTCATGATTTCTATGATTTTCATATTGCTTTTCGATTATAAATGATGATACATGGCTTTTGTATGAAAGACTTGAACATAAAATCAATCACAAAATTTGGAACTAAAAGAACTTGAACAATCTTTAATCTTATAGGAATCTATCTATGTTACTTCTATTAAATTTTTTAAAAAGTGATTTTGATGATAATTTTGGATTTCTTTTCATATGATCCATTTTAATAATGAGATGATATATCCAATCGAATGATTTATCGATGTTTGTGACTTGAGATGTATTTTACATGAAATATTTTTTTGATTCGTGTATGATTTACTTGTCTAAGAAAAAAATTATCTAAATGAATCATGATTCTTGACGTTATTAATTTGAGATTTAATTGAATCAAGATATTTTATTTGATCTCCTGCAATTCTATTCGTTATTTACAAAAAAAGAGATTTATCAAGATGAATCATTCACGAATTGATGTTTCATATTAATATCTTTTATTTCATGATTTTTATATGACTCCTTTGTAATTATGATTTGTATATCTCATGATAAAAATGAATCATTGATGAAAAAAAGAGAGATTAATGGATCTATCTATGGTTTTCTTTTTGAATCTCTTGAAAATAATTTTGATGATTTGATTATTTGAATTTGAATAAGTCTTATCTATAACATGATCTTGATTTTTTTTTAATTATAACATGAGATTTTTTTTAATGAATTAAGATCATATACTATGATTCTTCTTTTCGCTATTTGAGTCATTAAAAAAGAATCATAATTTTTCTTTTGATTTTTTGATATTCACAATTTGAAATTTGGTTCATGACTCTCGTGTATTCACGAAGTATATATCTCATCACCCAATTATTTTTTCTTGATATTCTTCATGTGATGATATGAAATTATGCATGAAATACTCATGATATTATGTTCGATGCATACAAATAAGAAATTATGATCATGCATGATATGATATAATTTGACATTTTGGTACCATCATGATTTGAAATATTTATGATTTGTATAACTTATGATATGATTGAATTATTATTGTAAAATAAGAGAAAAATTGTTAGTTTGCACATTGCAAAAGAGAACAAAAAAAATGCTAGCTTGAATGATAAACTTAAGTCTCTCAAATGCATAAACTCTTCTTATACAATTTTTAGATCATGATCTTGATTTCTTGATTTTTTTGACTTAAGTGTTCTTTTTAAATCAAGATCATTTCCTTACGTTTCCTTTTGCTATTTACAAAAAAAGAGATTTGTCAAAAATGAATCATGTCTTTTGGTATTCAAATGATGTTTGATATTATATCTTTCATGATATGATTTATTTATGATACTCCCTTGCATTTATAAATTTTATACCTCATCACATGTGTTTTAAATTTATCTTTGTCAATATGTGAAAATTGATATAAAGGAAAAAATAATTATAAAATTATATTTTTCCCTTCTTTTTGATAATGACAAAGGGAAAGATAAAATATGCTAACTTGCACAATTCAAGAAAAAGTTAAAACTTGTTAGCTTGCACATTTCATAGAAAGACAAAAAATTGCTAGATTGGATATTCTAAAATGATGCATTGCTATATTGCTAGCTTGCTATCTCAAAAAAAAAAGGAAGCTAAATTTGTAATCTTGCACAACTCAAAATTGTTGCTAGTTTATCTGTTATAAAACTTGCATATCTCAAAAACTTGGTAGATGCATTTCTCCTTTTTGTTAATGACAAAGGGGAAGAATATATGATGATAATCATGCATATTATGCCTAAAATGATAATTTAAAATTATGTATGATGATCATGCATGTAATGATGATTTTGAAAATATACATTATGTTTTGAAGTATTGCATGCAATACTCATGATTTTATTATGATGATGTATATGATGTATTGCATATGATGTGATTAAAATAGTTTCAACTTAGACTAAAAGGTCATCGTTTATTTGAATGATGTCTTATTTCAATATGACATATTAATAGGGGGAGTATAGTTTAAACTTCGTTATCAATTGGTTCTCATCATAAAAAAAGGGGAGATTATTGAACCTCGGATTTTGATGATAAAATCAATTGATGAGTTTGTGATCTAAACTGCAATTTAAGTGATATAGGACTAGCTTTGATCAAGGAGAGATAAATTGATTAAAGTAGGAAGAATCATGTTGGGCCGGAGTGTAACATGTCAGAAGATTGGACGTCGAGCCAGAGGATCGGTCGACATATC